GCAGCTTGTCTCAGTCCGTCGTGCCGCAGAATTGCGTGTCTGTGTGTGTGTGTGTGTGTGTGTATGTGTGTCTGTCCGTTGTTGATGTGAGCGTGTCTGAGTGTATCTGTTTGGGTGCGTTTCTCTGTCTGTCAGTGCGTTTCTGTGTCTGTCTGTCTACTGTGTGTTTATCTGTTTGTGTATGTGTGGCTGATTCAGCCAAAGCGTGTCCTACTCACGCATCGCACGTGCCAAAGGCTGAGGCGCGGGCATCGATGTGCCTGCCTCGGCCATGCTCTGTGCATGTCGCCAGTCATGTTAGCTGTGTTTGGGAGAGTGGACTATGTGAAACTGCCGTGGGGCATTAATTAAGGTGGCTGCTACACGCATCGCAAAGAAGGAGGCTTGGTAATGTCTTCAAGCAAACAGTGCCGATGGCCTGGTGTCGGAACGATTCTGTGCGTCGAGAGCGGGTGTGTCTGCCACGTGCTGCCGCACACCAACCGCATTCACTGAGTTTCCATACCCCATGCGTCAGCAGCGCTCAGATGAGCACGGCAGCCGCCTCAAGACGCACTTGCAATGGGAAGAATGCCTCTCAGCTCAGGACCAGCTCAGCGATCGCGATGAGCGAATGTTAGAAGCGCAAAAGGAGGAGAGAGAGCCCTCAGGAGATCTGCAGCAGAGAGGCTCACAAGTGCACTGCCTCATCGCACCACATCGAGCGCATCTGCAGATGCAAAGGGATTTTTAGTTGGCTTACACGGAAGCATGGGCCAGCACGTCTGATCTAGAGTCGGTACATGTATGGATTTTCACACACGCAAAGACACAAGCAATCGCAGAAACACATGCGCACCATACGACATGGATGATAGCAGCAGTCTGACATAAACCGAACAGCCCATCAAACGCAATCACACAAGGAAAGGGATGAGTCGGCATCCGATGGTGATTCCTCTCCGTGCTTCATTTCTTTTCCTCTCATCGTCGCTCGTGGCTTGCTCGCCCCTCCAGCGCATCTTGCAGCCCGCCAACGATACGTGGAGATTTCCCCCTTCTCTCCCTCACCCTCTTCGTTTTTTTTTGTTTGTCTTTTTCACCCTCTTCGTTCCCTCTGCACCTCTTCGTTATCCGGATTTTCTGACCGTGCCTCTTTCTTGTGAAATCGGCGCGTGGGGCGTTGCTGTGACCTCTCAGCGGACCAAAGTAAGCAGCGGAGATCTCTTCACTTCGAAGGTCACAAGGGCTTCGGTTAGGGTGTTGCGCGTGAAACCGCTGCTGCTTCAACTCCAAGCTCGCACGTTTCGGAGGAGATCGGGAGGGTCTCTCCCTTTGAGCGACAGATCTGGTGACGGAGAAGGGTCGTGGGACAAGAGCTGCACGAAAACCCCCCCTCACTGCCTCTCTCCTCGCTGCATCTGACTCTCGACCTCTCCTGATCTCCACAAGGCGGCAACTCCCCGAAGAGATCTCGTGTGCGAACCGCACCCCCGAAGCAGCGACTCTGCAACTCTCTCCTGGTGGTTTGGCATGTCATCGTCTTCATCCCCCCCCCTCGCAGGTCGCATCTGACCAAACCGACGTTTCCGCAGCCGCAACGTTCGACATGCCGACAGCCATCGCGTCAGACGGCGCCAGCAAGATGACCAAGCGTGGGGTGAGTTCTTCTGGGACCACCACCGTGTGCCGCCAGCGCATGTGGAGGTGGCTGGGGGGAGGTGCGGTGGCTGTGGTGCTGACGGTGGTGGTGGTGTTCTTGGCTGTCTGGCAAACGCGTAAGAGCTGGGAGAGTGGGGACCAGGATGGCAGGGTGGATGAGGGAGATGCGGTGAGGGGCGAGAGTTTGGTTGGGAGTGACACCCTCCTGCCACAAGTGCTCGAAGAGTTCGTCGTCGAAACCCAGTGCGACTCGCTGTTCGACTGCTGTGACTTCTTCCCGTCCGACAACATCACTGAATCCGCTGAGGTAGCACCGACGCACACGCACACACGAGTACGGGTTGGAGGATTGTCACCGTGTGGCTGTCTTGCGTGTCTACCTGTCTGTGTGTGGTCTCGCCAGGCATGCATCGCGCTCTTCAACGCCCTGCAGGTAGATAGAGGCATCACAGACAGTCACACCAGTCACACACAAAGCACCCGCCCAGCTACGCTCACTTCTTGTGTTTCCTCGTCCCTCAGAAAGTGCTGGACAAACAAGTGCGACGCAACCGCGGCAAGGGTGGCGGCGTCGCGCGCGTCGAGTCCACCGACAAGGGCATCCTCTGGCAGTCAACCTCCGGCCGCCTGTACGGGGGGGCAGACGCACCCGACATGACCCTTGACACGCTCTTCGAGATCGCCAGCATCACCAAGACCGTCACGGCAGCCGTGGTGCTGAAGCTCGTTGAGGCGGGGAGGATCTCTTTGCGGGACGAGGTGGTGGACCTGCTGCCCGACGGTGCGGTTCCCGAGGGCCTGCTGACTGTCAACGGGACGGACGGGACGGTCAACCTGACCGTGTGGCACCTGCTGTCGCACCGGGGAGGGCTGCCCGACTTCTGGGACAACTGGAACTTCCTGGAAGAGTACGACGCCGACCCCAACTATGACTGGACGCCGCAGGAGACCATCGCCTGGGCCGCCGCAATGGACAAGGAATTCCCGCCACAGACGTCAATTAAGGGTGGGTGGTGATCTCGATGCACACACGAAGGACGATGGAAACATACGCAGTACAGCCGCACACCCGTACAAGAGCTGTGTGCATGATGATGATCAACAGGCAACTTTGCGTACGGCGACACCAACTATGTGATTTTGGGTCTGCTGGTGGAGCACCTCACCGGCAAGGCGCTCCACAAGGTCTTCAGGGAGGCCATCTTCGACCCACTGGACATGAACTCCACTTACATGAGCTACAAGGAAGAGCCCAGGTGAGCTGCCCTGACAAACCAGACGACCTGACAAACCACCCACACGCATCGGGGGTATGTTTGTGCATGTGTTGGGTCGGCAGGACGGATGCGCCTCTGTCGCACCGGTATGGATATGACTCGGAAGACCTGCACAACGTCACAAGGCAGGCGGCCGACTGGGCCAGCGGAGGACTCATCAGGTAATGAATACTACACACGAATGACAACCTTGCTGTGTCCCGGCCCCATTGCGTACACCTGCGATGGTTTCGTATGACTGATGCAGTGACGTGCATGACACGAGCATCTTCATCCGCGGCTTCATGGAGGGCCGCATTATCAGCCCCGACACACTGGCAAACGCCCTCGACGCGGGGCAGGCAGCTTCCTCCTTCAGCAATGCTGAATGGATCTACTACGGTAAAACGACCACTGACACAGGCAGACAGAGGGAGAGAGAGAGAGAGAGAGAGAGAGGAGATGCTTTCATTGGCACCCATGCTTGTGGTGTGTGGGTGTGTGCGCGTGTATCACTTTCTGCAGGTCTGGGTACGATGGAGCTGCAGATGGATTGGATTGGCCTCGGCTATGTTTACGGCCACGTCGGTTACGGCAACTCGTACGCCTTCTACTCGCAGAAACGCAAACTGGCGGTGGTGGGCACTGTCAACAATGAGGAGGGGGCTTGGACTCGCAGCGTGGTGCCCATCCTCGAGGCCGTCGAGGCCTTCCTGCAGCGACAGTCACCTGCCTCTGAGTCATAACTGATATGAATGCAACGTGTGACGTGTGGGCATTTATCTGTCTGTCTGTCTGTCTTTTATTGGTCATTTCTCCAGCGAGGCTGCATGACGCACACACTGACAGACAGGCGGTCGTCAGCCGGTGTGTGTGGCTTGTTGCGTGGCGGGACGGGAGTGTGTGTGTGTGTTTGCGTGTATGTATGTGTCGTTGAAAGGTGTTGCCAGCGCTCTGAATGGATGGCTGGGTGGGACTCTCACCTCCGTGTGGGAGTTAGTTTTACGGCCCGTGAGCTGCACGAGTTGCATCGCGGGCGGCGTCGGTCGGTGGATTTTTGATCATTGCTATGTTGATAGCATGTGGGTGGACGAACAGTTTTCGGTTATGTGTCGTCAGGACATCATCATTTTGTAGCTTACCAGGTCCCTATCACTTAGCCGGGCACGCAGCAGCTTGTCTCAGTCCGTCGTGCCGCAGAATTGCGTGTCTGTGTGTCTGTCCGTTGTTGATGTGAGCGTGTCTGTGTGTATCTGTTTGGGTGCGTTTCTCTGTCTGTCAGTGCGTTTCTGTGTCTGTCTGTCTACTGTGTGTTTATCTGTTTGTGTATGTGTGGCTGATTCAGCCAAAGCGTGTCCTACTCACGCATCGCACGTGCCAAAGGCTGAGGCGCGGGCATCGATGTGCCTGCCTCGGCCATGCACTGAGTGTCTGTGCATGTCGCCAGTCATGTTAGCTGTGTTTGGGAGAGTGGACTATGTGAAACTGCCGTGGGGCATTAATTAAGGTGGCTGCTACACGCATCGCAAAGAAGGAGGCTTGGTTACCCCTTCAACAGTGCCAATGGCCTGCTGAACGATTCTGTGCGTCCGGTGTGTCTGCCACGTGCAGCCCAGCACCATCCATACATCCTATCCTCGCCCACCTTGATCACTGTCGCAATGCCTGGACGGCCTTCCGAGAGCTGGAGAATGTGTGTAGGAGGTGGACTGACGAACGCACTGAGGTTTCACCGGAAAGTCCAGAGGGTAAGCACCAGCCCAGCTGACTCACTGACGACAGGTCCCACCTCCGGTGAAGGCCAGAAGGTATCCTCCAGGCCCAGTCAACCAAGTTTCAACACACTGGCCGGAAAACGGGAAAATTTACAGAGCCGTTTGCAGTTGTACGGCCCTGGCTTTCCTCGCGCTGCGTGCATGTCGTCCTTCCTACCTATGCTAGGCCGCCTGTGCGGCACTGTCCAGTTCCTCTGTTTCTTCATCTACTCGCTCCTCATCTCAGTCTGGGAGACATTCGGCGGCTGCAAAGTGAGGCGGCGACGCGTTACACACAACACACCTTCGCCGGAGGATCAGCAGGACGGCAAGCAGCAGCTTGACACGGGAAAGGCCACCATCCAGCAGCAGCAATCGACGTGTATTTCCATCAATGACGACTCCACCACTCTCGACGACCCCGGCAGCCCCTCGTCCATCCCCTCAACTGCCACCCACACATGGGCCTCCCCCCCACGACCCTCCTCGCCCGACAAATCCAAGAAGCAGCAGCAGCAGGGACAGCAGTCGGCGTCAGAGAAGCCACCGTGCGGCGATCGGTACAACGTGTTCGGCGGTCCCAAACGAGAGGGTGTGAGGCGCATTCTCATCGTCCTCTCGGACACGGGCGGCGGACACAAGACGGCCGCCCTCTCTCTGGAGCAGGCATTCGACCACCTCTACGGCAACAATGGCGACGATGCCGATGCCGCTGCTGCGCGGCAGGTGAAGAGGGTGCTCATGGAGGAGTGGGAGGGCGGCGAGGGGGTGCAGCTGGAGATCAGGGCCGTCGACGTCTGGACGGACTTCGCCAGATACCCCTTCAACGAGTTCGTGTGGTACTTCCGCTTCTATGCTGCAAGGCCACAGGTGGGTGGGATGGGGCGGACACGGAACGAGGAATGCTTACTCACCTTGGTATCTCTCTCTCTCTCTCTGTGTGGCTTGTGTGTGCGTATGTCAGCTGTGGGTGTTCTTCTACTCGCTGTTCACCCTATGGCCATTCAAGCGCTTCGCCGAGGCGTGGGGTTTCCACCACAACTACGACCACTTCGCCAGGCTCCTCCAGGCGTCCCAGCCCGACCTGCTTCTGTCCGTCCACCCCCTCTGCCAACACCCCTTCCTCCGCACCATGGCCACCATCGGCATGCACAACGTCCCCCTCGTCACCGTCGTCACTGACCTCCAGACACCACACATCTTCTGGTGGGCGCCCGGCGTCCACACCTACTTCGTCCCCTCCGACGCCGTCCGGACCCTCGCACTCAAGCAGCCCTTCATCGACGAGTCGCAAGTCAGAGTCCGCGGCCTGCCTCTGCGCAAGGGCTTCTGGAGCACCGAGCGATCGACGAGCAAGCAGGCGATGCGCGCGGCTTTGGGGTGGAGGGAGGACGCCGCCACGTGTCTGGTGATCGGCGGGGGTGAGGGCATCGGCGGCCTCGCGGCAACGGTGCGTGCCATCGTCAGCCAGCTCAAGCGCCACAAGAGCCCCCCCATCAGCACCAGCAACAAGGGCGGCGATGAGGAGAAGGGCAGCGGCATTCCCTCGTCTTCGCCGGCCTCGTACCAGCTGATCGTCGTGTGTGGTCGCAACGACGGCGTCAAGAACAAGCTGGAGCGGCTCTTCCCGCCCAAATCGCATCATCATGCGTCCAGAAGGCCTCATCTCTCAAAGTCAGAGAAGAAGCCTCTGGTGTCCCAGCGCGCCAAGGCGGGCGCCGTGTGGGTGGGCATCTACGGCTTCGTCGACAACATGTCCGACGTCATGGCCGCCGCAGACTGCCTCGTCACCAAGGCGGGGCCAGGCACCATCGCCGAGGCCTGCACACAGGGCCTCCCAGTGCTGCTGTCGTCCTACCTTCCGGGGCAGGAGACGGGCAACATTCCTTTTGTCGAGGACGGCAGGTTCGGCGCGTATGCGCCGAGAAAGGACGCCTTGGGGCGGGCGGTGCGGCGGTGGCTGGATGACCCCGACATGCGGGATGAGATGGGGAGGAGGGCCATCGAGAAGGCCACGCCCAGCGCCACCCTCCAGATCGCCAGGGAGATCGGCGACGGCATCGTGGGACTCAGACCGCAGCAACAGCAGCCACAGCAATAGATGGGTGTGAGAGGATGAGGGGGGAGGGGAAGGGTGGGTCGTTTCTCCTGTGTACTGCTGCTGTATGATGTTTTCTTGCCGTCTGTCTCTCCCTCCCTCTCTCTGTGCTCACGTGTGTGTATTTCTTCCTTCTGCGCTGGTTGATTGACTGAAATGCATTCTTTGTCGCTATGGCGGTCGGTGAGCCAGTGGGCGGCAGACACTCCCCCACTCTGTCTGTATCTGTCTGAGTGGGGACCACCGCCTAGCTGCGGCTGACTGACTGACCGTGCATACAGACATCCATACACATACATGTGTACATCCATACCCACTACTGTTGTCATTGACTGAAGAGTCATTTTTCCTAGACCTTTCATTGGTAGTCACAGATAGACAGGGACGGGAGGGGGGAGAGGAGGGGTGGGGTAGGTGCAATTAGTGAATGAGGGAGTGCTCCATGCATGGTTCATGCCGTGCTGGGCGTCACGCGCGAGTCGGGGTGATGTCAGGCAGTGTATTTGGCTCATTCGGGTGTGGCTGTGTCTGTATTAAGCGATTGGATGCTTGGATGGTTGGATGGTTGGGTGGGTGGGTGGGTGGTGATCGGTGTATTATATTCTAATGCGTGTAACAAGAACGACGGGAATGATGACGATCGCACCCCCCGTGTGTGTGTGCGTGTGTGTGTGGACAGTGAATTCGGTGTATGCGTGTGTGCGTGGGCTGGGCAGCGACAGACAGACAGACCGATTGATCGGCTTGATTCAATTCGATTCAACTCAGTTCATCCAGCAACAATACACAGCACACGACGGCACAACGACACGACCAGTGCACTGACTGACTGTACAATTAAGGCTATTGGTGGATATGTGTGATGCAAAAGTGTGGTGTGGTATGGCTTACAAAATCAATCACTCACACGTACGACAAGGTGACGACACCAACACCCGATCGACCGGCGCGAGACGCATGCGACAAGACGCAATAGCGTCGCTACAGTTAGCTACACCGATCCACCGTTCTCTCTCCTTCCGACGGCAACGTCTGTATGTACATTCCGCGAACGCTCAGACAACCACAGACAGACGAAGAGTGCCAAGCTGAGATACGACGACAGACGAGACGTATCTACAGGGAGGCAGACACCAAAGACAGACAGACAGACAGACAGTCAGATCGACAGCAGCTGAATTCCCTACGAGTACCATTCATTCATCCATTCCGACACCTCTCATCCATCACAGCGCCACCCGCAGTAGCCATCCATCCATCCCGTCCGTCCAGATGCCCTTCTTTCGGACATCGGCACACCCTTCTCTGTCCTTACCTTTCCTTACCACGCCACACCCACACGACACGCGCAAACCCTCCAAGCAAGTCAGCACCACCATATCGTCGAATACAGGCAGACAGCGAGACAGACAGACAGACAGTGATGCGGACAAAATATGGAATTTGTACGGGGGAGGGAGTAGAGCAGGCGAGCTGATGAAGACAGACAAACACCACACACAGAAGAAGCAGCAACGGGAGAAGGGAAGGAAGTATCGACAGACAGATAAGGCGAACGGGCAAAGCACACCGAGAATCAGAGGGAGATAGGGAGCTGCTGAGGCCCATTTCCCTCCTTGGCTGGTCGTTTAGCCACTAGGACACACACATACACAGACAGACAGACAGACAGACATCCACACGCAGCACTGCACAAATATCGACCCACCCACCCACTCCCTACCGCCCACCGAGCTGTAGACAGCTTACCCCTTACCCCTCCCCAACCCTCAACTCAGCCACGTGTGCAATACACACGCACACACACGTGCACATCCATCCATCCAGACCTCATAGGAGAAGACAATCGTTTGCACGCAAGCCGCCATCCAAGGCATGAAAAACTGGCGCGGTGCTGGCTCGACAGCCAGCGTTCGAGAAAGGGGCACGAAGAGAAGCACCACACATGGCAGAGCTTGTGAGCGCATGTATGTATGTGCATCATCAGCAGCAAGATCGTAGTGGAGGGGACAGGCGCGAGAATGGAAAACCGCCCGCACATCCACCACACACATAACAGCAGGCTTGCTCGCGTCGAGTGCCACTTATGTACACACATGACATGTACACGGATAGACAGACAGACAGACAGACAGGGAGGGAGGGAATGAATGGATGGATGGATGGACGTGTGGAGGTCCAAAAAATAAAGCAGAGGGAGGTCAGTCGGTCGGTCGGTCAGTCAGTCAGTCAAGAGTACGCACTACGCAGCCGCTTGCTGGTCACCCATCCCAACCGCCACACACGCCCATTGCCTCACTGTACACCACGTACGCATCCATCCATGGGCAGATGCAGGAAGGGAAAATTGCGATGCATTAGTACGTGAAAGGATGAGTGGATGGATTACCGCACGCGTCTTGTGTGGGAGCGTGGGGGGGTGGGTAAGCGGCCGAAGAAGGCAAGCAACCAAGCAAGCAAGCAAGCAAGAGAAAGCAAATAAGCAAATAAGTACATACATACAGGTGGATAAATGGTACACAAATACACAATACACACTACATATGTACACAGCCATGGGCGTATACACACACACATACACATACATACATACACATACATACAAACAGGTACGGCAGTTTGAAAATCCTCCCCATTCCTTCGTTCCCTCGACACTTCGGTCGCTGCTATGCTATGCTATCCTACGCCTCAATTAGTCAGGCCACACACACACACACACATATACACACACAACCACAAGCAGCCAACCCAACCACCAGCCAACCAGCCAGGGTAGCCAGCCAAGAAGACAACGAGAATAAGCGAGAGAAACCACCCACCACAGCAGACCACAGGCAGCAGCAAGACACACAGGCAGGAAGGCAGGCAGGCAGGCAGACAGTCAGCCAGCCAGCCAAATGAATGACAACCAGGCAAGCCAACGCACACATGACACCACAGACAGGAAAACAGCACCAGACACCAACACCGGTCCCTTACACACAATGGGATGGGATGGGGTGGCATGGGATCAGATTGCATGTGCAGTGCGCCGTGATGTGTCTGAGTGTGATGTGTGTGTGTGTGTGTGTGTGTAATGGGTGCGTTGGTTACTCAGAAGGATCGGCACTCGAATCGTGTGCCGAGGCACCTGCCGCGCACCGCCAGCACCTGGAACCGCTCGGCTGATATGTCGATGAAACCGTTGTCTATCAAACGACCTGCACACGCAACCCAGCACACAGACAGATAGATACATATCGATGAGCCCGCAGTGGATGGATGGATGGATGAGTACGTACCGACGTTGAAGAATACGTTTTTGGCTCTGCCGCCCTGCACGCCGAACCTAGTGCCCGGCTGCAGCTGACGATTGCCGTCACTCCCACTGCCACTGCTACCGCTGCCAACACCGCCATCATCACCTGACATACACACCATACACAGAAAGCATTTCGTCCATCCACCCACCGCCCCTCTCGGCCTGTCTGTCTGTCTGTCTGGTGTGTTGGATTTGATCTGCGCACCTGTGAGTTTGTTGGCGTCTATGTCAAGGCTGGTGTGTCTTATGAGTTTGTTGGCCTCCTCCGTCTTGCCCTCGTTGTATGCGGGGCCCTTGAAGACCGCCAATGGGGTGGTACGGGACACGTCACCCTTGTCGTACAGATTCGCACCCTCCTGTATGTGTGTGTGTGCAACAAGCCGAGTACTACAACAGCGCTCTCTGCGTGTGTGTGTACGAGTTAGTCGGGTGCTTACGGGTATCATGGTCATGGTGTCGCCGTTGGCGAAGGCGATCTCGACGATGTGTTTGTCGGTGTTGCGTGTGACCTCGTTGATCTTGTAGAACTTCTCTAGAGATCAACACGGTCACAAGTTGATCTTGTAGAACTTCACTTGTTCGTACTCGATCTTGTACCTATGTGCTCGCCGCTCGACTTGAACTCGAGGTAGAGGGCCTCCACCTTGTAGAGGTCCGCCAGGTCCACCTCGAGCATCTCAAACATACCCAGGCTGTCCAACGTCTCCTTGGCCGACACATCCACGGCACGACCTGCACACACAACACACACAGACACAGACACAGACACACACAGACACAGAGCATGTGTATGTGTAATTTGCCCGGGCCCTCTCTCTTTTTTCTCGCTGGTATCGGCTTGTGTGATGCGCCGACCATCGATGGTGGCGACTTCGATGAGGCGGCCATCCTTGTCGGGCCTGAAGTCTTTTGAGATCTCGTTGGCGCCCAGACAGACGCCCAAGAAGATGGCCAGCGTCGCAAGATACAGCAGCGCGATGCCCGCCAGTATCACCGACAAATGGCGGGACCGACGCTGCTCCTGCTGCAACGCACGAGCCGCACGCGCCACGTCCTCGATGCTGAACTTGCCTGGTTGGTACACATACACATAACAAGCCAGAGAGCAGAAATCGTCTCTCTGTCGCTCTCTCACCATCACACCCCTCCCTCCCCTGCTCACCATCGCCATCTGAGTCCCATGACTTGAGCACACGCACGAGCAGGTCCGAGTCGCCGCCCCGCCCCCCGCCCGTGATGGTCACAGCAGCCCGCCGGAAGTTCTCTGTCCGGTTGGTGGGGATACCGCTGCTGCCATTGGGGCTGAAACCGTCCACACCACCACCACCGCCGCCGCCGAACCGCAGATGGTGTGTGGCAGGGGGAAGGGCCAGCTTGGGCACGGGTGTGTTGGTGTTGGTATTGGTGCCGAGCTTGGATGGCGGGGCGGACGAGGACGACATACTCGACGGCGATGTCTGCTCGCCGAAGTGGGGCGTCGGCTGCTGTGTGGCTGTGGCTGTGAGGGAGAAGAGCTTGGGAATGGGGAAGCCGAAGCTGCGAACGGCTTCACTCATTATTTCGTACCCACTATTCGTGGATGGACGGAAGGCCACCACCACAGGCGATCTGGCTATCCAATAGCTACAGTAATGCTCTTCTCTCCCCAAATGGCATGATCGGCGATATTTCTGAGCTCGCACGGAAAGAGGCCGACCATTCGCAGGCCACGAAAGAGGCATCCACCTGGAGATCCTCGAGCGATGACGTCATTGTGAGTGAAGATCTTGGAGATCTTGGAGAGTGGTTGAAGGAAGCATGGCAGTGGCTCATCTGAAGGACAAGTGGGGCATCAGCCTGTCAGAAGGTAACCACAGCAGGCTTCAGCATCATGGCTACCTTATCGCTGATGAACCATGTCTGTGTTTGTTGTCGTCTTATCACCAGATGGCGTGGATGAGTGTCTGAATCACGTGGAGGCCGACTCGATGGACGCCGTGCACCCAAAGGCCGCAGAAGAGTATCTCCTCAACACTGACATCAGGTATGTACACGATATGGGCCAGCATCTGTATTGTCTGAATGTGGGTGCCTGTCTGTCTGTCTGTGTGCGGATTCAGGAAGGCTGGTGTGCTGTCGACCATTCCTGAGAACCTCCAGAGGGCAGGCAGCACACAACTCGACGTACAAAACGTGACGCACGGCAGATGCTCGCACATCCACTGGTGTCTTGGGGTGTGCTTGGCTGTGTGTATGCGGGTTGATAGGGTCCGCATTTCGTGCAAGTCATCAAGATAGTGGACACCACCCAGCCGTCGAGGAAGGCCGAGGAAACGGAGAGTGAGTCAAGTGACACTCTCACACAAACACTAGGCACTGCCGTGTCATGTACTGTTTGTTTGCTACATACAGGTTACAATCGTCTGCTGCTGTTGACACTCCATGACGGCCAGCAGCGCATCGCCGCCATTGAGTACCAAACCATCGACCAACTCAGGTCGGTAACACACCCACATGCCCACCCACCACATCACCCACAGACACACGGCGACACTCTCTTCTCCACCGCAGTTTGAATGTCCCCCCCGGCACCAAGCTGCTCCTGGGTGGTCGTGGCCGCTCGCCCGTCGGTGTGCGCAACGGTGTTGTGCTGCTCGACCCCTCGTGTGTCATCGTCCTGGGCGGCTACGTCGAGCGCATGGTCGAGGCATGGAAGGTACCCACTCATCCATACAGCACCACAGACAGACAGACAGACAAATGTGCATGGACCTCTCTGTCTGTCTGTCTGTCTGTGTGCGTGTGTCTGTGTGTGTGCAGGTGAATCAGGAGGTGCAGGCGTCGCGCCTGTGGCTCAAGTCAGCAAAGCCGCAAGACGCCGGTGGCAGTGGTGGGCAGGACCCCCAGCGGCCGAACCGCAACTTTGCCGACGACGACGGACCGCCGAGGTTCCAGCCCTTCAAACAGGTGGCTGAACCAAACGGAGGAAGGGAAAAAAGGCTCCCTGTTCAACCCTGCGTATCTCTCTGTGTGGCTATGTGTTGCCAGGGCATGGCGACTGACCAGCGGCAAGGCAAGGCTCGCCCCTCTCCCTCTCCTCTTCCCCCACCATCCCAGGCCACATCAGCCGCTCCACCTGACTCCAACAGCAGGGCACCAGACGACGAGCAGCAGCCAGACGAAGGCCCAAGATTCGACATTGCTGAGCTCGGAGGGGCGGGAAACAAGCCACAGGTGAATTGGCAGGAATGGACACAAAAAGCAAATGGAATCTCTCTCTCTGTCCTTCCCCGACAGACGCACATCAGTGCGAGTGCATTCAAGGCGGCCGAGCAGGGTGGGAGAGGTGGCCGCGGGCAGCGGGGGAGGCGCGGCCGTGGACGTGAGGGGGACGAAGACTTTGTGGATCGCGACCTGCAGCATTATGTGGCCGACAACCGTCGGGGTCATTCGGGCGGTATGTCGCTCGACATGTTCATCAAGAAGGACAAGAGGGCGGAGGCAGCGGCAGCAGCAGGGCCGTCGCATCAGGAGGATGAAGGCGAGGGCGAGGAGGAGTGGGAGGACTGGCCAGAGGCATACCAACAGCCACAACCATCACAGCCACCATACTCCACACCAGGTGGGTGGCGAATCACTCCAAACCAAGGACGCACTCTACACCTTGGCTACTCGGGGCTCTCTCGCTGTGTCTGTGTGGTCTCATCAATCTAATGCAGGCCCACCGCCGCACAACGGCTTCTCCCAAGACCGCCGGAGGAGCTACCCGGCGGACAGCAACTCTTATGACTACCAGCAGCAGCAGCAGCAGGCGTCATACAGAGGTGGGAGAGGTGGATCCTTCGACAGCATGCCCACTGGTGGTGGTGGTGGTGGTGGTGGTGGGCGTGGATGGAGGGGTGGCGGTGGCCATTATGGCCGCGGCGGGCGTGGGAGAGGTGGAGGGGGGAGGGGCAGAGGGGGGAGGGGCAGAGGGGGGAGGGGAGGAGGAGGGCACAGAAGATGGTAGGCAGCAAAGAGAGGCACGACTGGCCCGTCAATGGGTGAGGTGACTGGGTGGGTGACTGAGAGAGGGGCACCCATGCATACTGCTATTTGTCTTATGGATGGATGGATGGATGGCAATGGGTTGTGTATTGTGTGTGCCGGTTGTGGAGTTGGTCATTGCACGCATTCATCCCTTCATCGCGTGACTGACAGTAGTTGCCAGCATTAAACTCAGCGTAGCGTCAAAAGACGAGACCAATCATGGGGGGAGGTCCCCAGGTTAAGGCACCGCGATCGTTGCACCGTTTCACGTGCGACCAGGCTCTAGAACATCCCGCGCAACCGTATCTTTGCCTGACGAACCCGTTGAGCATTCATCCGCTGAGAGCTGAAAGGAATACCACACGTCCGTTCCACAAAAGAAAGGCGCAGTCAGAAAGTCTCGGACGAAAAGAAAATGGTGAGGGAGAGAAAGGGGAGATCTTCACGCCTTGTCTACGTCGCTCGTTGCTTACCGTCTGTTTCAGAAATTGCCAAGCCGATTGGTGTGATGTGTGATTTGGTGCCTGAGGAGCTCTGGCGTGAGCGGATTCTCTCCTGCCTTCTCTCTGTGACATCATTGCCCTGCGAGCCGGCAGCAGGGCCAAGGCGGCCCTCGTGACGTCCGATGTGCCGCTACAGCGCATCGATGCGTCCATCGACTTCAATGAAGTCAGAGGCCTCATCGATGTCGACCGCACCCCCACACACCTCGGTTATCTGCTGAGGTGCGCCTATG